GTTGATTACTTAAAAAAATTTGGTAAATGGGACAAGTCTTTCGTTTTGCTGCCTTATTATTTATGCCTATCCCCCCCCCCCCCCCATCATATATCATCTGGTATAATGTGATTATTACGTAAAGTTGCCTACATATATGATGTCCTTCCGTCTAAATTAATCAAGCCTCAACTTTTGAAATCCTTAGCAGGAATAATACTGAGTCCTAGTTCTACACTTCAAAGTTCTTTTAATCTGCTTTTATCCCCTCGGCTATTCAGCCTTGTTCTCTTGATTAATAAGGTGGATGAGTTGGTGGTTTTCTTAGAACTTCCGGTTTTTTGCTTTTTGCAGAACATTTATAACGCTACTTTGCACAAATTGCTTCCATATTTGATTTTAGGTCACTATGTGTTGGAACAAGGTCCGGTTACGGTTTAATCTCGACAGAATCCGATCAGATGAACGAAACTTGTTTTGTCAGTACGTCTTGGTGCTTGAATCAACACTTTTTAGATGGGGATCCGATGTGCCTTGTCGGACGCCTATTCACCAGCAGTCTTGTCACTCTGGTGTCCCTTAATGACATGCGGAAACTGCTGATGTTTCATTACCGGCAAAATTATCTCATCTGTGATTATCGTTACACCAACACAATCCTGGCAGTCAAAATGAATCGCAAGGTATGTCTGCAAGGTTCCAAATACCTCATGTTTGAAATAACCTTTGTTTCTCAAGTCCAAATCGATTAAACAAGTAAACGAAAATGAAGTTGCAAAATCGGTTGAAGTGATTTTTTGAGCACATCGTGTGTGTCAGTTTGTACCTAGTCAATTCTAATGTTTTAGCGACTAATTGTGTGCCTGGAGAATGAGATCTTTATTCACAACATCCGCGACATGGAGATACTTCATCGAATCGAAGAAACCCCAGCAAATAAGAACGGGATTATTGCATTTTCTCACCGTCCGGACAAATGCTACCTAGCGTACCCCGGCTCCAATCGTGTCGGCACCGTTTTCATCTTCGACGCTCTCAACTTTACGGTTAGCCAAATTAATTGTGTATCATTTCTAAGGTGTTTTGGTCATTCGAGCAACCCGATCCTATTGGCTGTCGAGTTGTTTATGCTAGCACATTGATGCATTTATAACACCACCTAAACCGGCGCACGCTCCTCTTTTGTGTCAAAGTGTAGACGTCCGTGAATCCTTGCGGCCAGTTATTTTCTTCGTGGCTTTGTCAGGAAGGCAGATACTCTTGCTTCTGGCCCAGTCCATTTAACATGAGTTTTAGTCGTGCGTTTTTTTTCTGGTGTGCTTGCACCGCGCATCACATTGTGGCCGGTCAGACGACGTGTGTACGAGAAATCTGTCTTTTTTTTCTCCAAATTATTCAGTAGTGGGTTCAGTTTTCTGCGCTTTATGTCGCACAGACGTATGTACATAAAACTACAACACGAACGCTTGAAACAACAAAAAATTGGGCCTAAGCGTTACACAAACGGAAAAATTCACTCCATTAGTAATTTGTTTTTGTTTCATTTTCTCGATGAACCTTCACACCAAAATGTTTGACTTGCGAGTTTGAGAATTTCACACGCCTTCAAACCCTGTAATTATCGACTAACTGGGGGTGTTGAGTGGGGCTCATTGCGCTACCTATCAGGCTTCTGGCTTATTCAAAGTGTGAATCGGTTAAATTAAGGTGTGATTCAAGTTAATCCCAAAACTGGTAGAATTTAAACTCACAGTTGCCAAGGTTAGAATGCGACTGTGGAGGCGTCTCAGTGACACAAAAACACGGTCATCGAATCCCCAATTTGATTGGTCCATTTTTTGCAGAATGTGACATCAATTGCTGCGCATGACGGTCTCCTGGCAGCGCTTTCATTCAACGCGTCCTCCACTATGCTTGCCACGGCCTCGGAACGCGGTACCGTAGTTCGAGTGTTTTCAATCCCCGACGGCGACAAGCTGATGGAGTTTCGCAGGGGTCTTGCGAGGTTAGCCTACTTAAACCCCTCATAAGTAGTCGGCGTCATCAACCCAACCGAACTGTGTGTCTTGATTTGCCTCCTTAGATGCGCTTCAATTTGTTCCTTGAATTTCTCCGCCGACAACCATTTCCTCGTGACCTCGAGCAACACCGAGACCATCCACATCTTCAAGCTCTGTTCATCGTCTGCAGCTAGGTTGGTTAATTGATCTGTGTGGAGGACAATCAATCGTAGAATACGCTAAACGTGCTGATTATTGATTTTTTTTGCAGACCAGAAGACGGTGTAGGCCTGCCCGCGGCCGGTGTTGGGTCTCGTGGAGTGGACTCAGACGCCAACGTCGCCGACATCGCGTCGGAGTCCACGGCAGCCAGCAGCGGGTGGACGGGCAGCATCGTCAGCTGGGTCGGTGGGGCCCTGAAGGCGGGGGCTGCGTACCTGCCGCACCAGGTGTCCGAGGTGTTCACCCAGGACAGGTCTTTCGCCCACGCCTGGATACCGCCCGCCTGTGCTGTCGCTCCTGTCGTCGGTGGCATCGGCGAACTCCCCACCTCCGGACAAACCACTTGCCCCAACGGCCTCAAAAAAGTCGCCGCGCTAATCTGGTGAGTTTCCTCTTCCCTAACATGTCTAGTTTGTGTTTGCAAGTTGTGCGGGCGCCCGATGCAAATGTACACACTACTTGCTTCCCGCCGCCTTTGAATGTTAGAACTGTGGTAGTTCTCTTTGCAGAAGTGAGCGCCTCACATGGATAAGGGAATGCTAGGCAGAATGGCGGAGTTTACGTTGGCGACTGATAAACAGCACACTCGATGGCACTGCACTTTGCACGAATTCCAACAAGGATCAAACGCTTCCAAGGCACGGCGTGTCGCTTATGAAACGTGTAATTACTTGGCACTAGAAGTGGTGATTTCGATCCTAGTGACCAGTCACGCCACGTCAGCAGCCTCGAAAGTGTAAAGATGTGGATTAAGACTCAGTGCAAGCGTTTGCACTTCGAAATGGGTCATACTGTGCGCTGTTATTCCCCCACTTCAGCATGTATAACCAGTGGTTCTTTAATACCTAGTTCACTCCCAGTTCTTGGTTCTCTGCATCATTCCCTGTGATCCTAGTTTCGTCCCACCAATCAGATTTTTCTGCTTAAAGGGGAGTACAATCAATTCCCTTTTTTTACACCTTCAGTCAACGTGATCAGTACCGACTAGTGGTTGCTGGTGTTGACGGTTTCTTGCACATCTTCAGCATCGACCCAGTTCGAGGCGGCGAAGCGACTCACCTGTCAACACAGAGGTAAAACGCCTTCTTTGTCGAACCTTCCAGCTATCTTTTTTACTAAACTGTAAAAATTTTAATCTGGACCAATGAAATCGTAGCAAGGCTCCTATTGGTTGTCGAACGCGTAGGTATTTTGTGTGCAAACGTTTAAGCGAATTTCAAGGTTCCAAATCACTTCCGATTAATGCGTAGTTAGGTTTTTTTAGTTGTCAGGCAAAAATAGTTGGCAAGCCTTAAAAAATCTGCTGCTGACGGTCCCACGCAAGCGCGCAAACACCTATTTGCACGAACATTGGTTCCAACCAATTAGCTTGAGCCCAGTTTCCTATTGGTTCCGAGTGTGCGATTATTGTAAACAAAGGTAAATGTGAATTAGAGGCGCGGAAACCACGCACTGTCGAAGACTAGCTATACAAAAACAACATTGCTCTTTTGTCATAGCCTCCTAACCCCGAATTCAACCTCTCTTGTACCACCTGGTCCCCGACAATCACTCCGACCTTCGTCGGGTGCTCCCGATCCTTCTGCGCGACGAAGCTTCGCTGCAGCCGCCTCGAGCGCCGCGGAGGAGGCTGTTTCCGGAAGTGAGTTTAAACCTCCCTCCCTCCCTCCACAATTCCTAGGCGAAGTCTCCAAGTCCATGAAGGGTGGGATTCCCGATTTACTTATTGTTTTATAGTAGTAATTGTATTTTAAAATTTGGCAGAGGACCTGTTGGCTGCCGAAGTCAATGCCACACTCGACGCACCTCCATTGTATCACTACGAGACGGAATTTCCCACCATACAACCATCAGGCCAAAAGTCTCCCATCAAAAAGCAATAAAACACACTGGAGTGCTCTCTGGGTTTATGCCTATCTTCATTATTAAAATGGTGATTTAATTTCTCCTGTAGAACATGACTTGCAACCACAACAACAGCAACAACAACAACATCAACCGCTGCAACAGTCAAATGCATGAATGTGATGTGTGCAGTTCGAATTCAAGTCATCCCCGTCCGTTAATTCCCAATTTTCCCCCTCAATCTTTTACATTTTGTGCAGAAATGCACTCGCTCTTTACACTTAGCCTTCTTGGTGTACTGCCTGTAAGCATTGTAAACACGCGGGCTTCATTTTAAAACTTTGCAAGAGTCAGAAATATCATCTTTATTTATTTGTACCTAGTGTTCTATTGTTTGCAGATTACTGGTTTCGATCCCTTAGTTGAATCTAAGTAGGTGCTGCCTTCAGCTGTAGTCATTTTGGAGGGAAATTAGATCAAGCTGGGCCGCGATTTGAAATGCGTTGACTTGTCCAATCAGAGCGCTTCATCGTAATTTACGAAGATGAGGCAGTTATTAAGTGTGGGTTTTTTAAAAACACGAGCCCTATCGTGAGGACTACTGGTACTACAGAATATGCTTTATTGGCGCTCATTATATCTATATATTTAGACCCGCCCTTTTCTCTGGTTGGCTATTCCTCTTCTACGTAGAAAATTAAAACAATCCGAGGCGGGTGATTGAAGAAGATCAGCCTAGTGCTTTACTACAGCACAAAGAAGTCTTGCTGAATAATGCTAACGCTAAACAAAGCATGTGCTTTCAATCGACAAGAAATAAACTGGTGCTTTGTCAACTTTAGAGTCAAAAATATTTAAACGTCAGGTGACTATTATAACGAAAGGGAACATTAGACATCAGCAAAGTGTTGGGCACAAGAAGCTTTTTTGATTAAACAAAAGCCATTACCCTGGTTGGAGAGGGACTAACTTCATTTGTTACTAAAGCTGAGTTAATCTTAACAAAGAATTAAGCTAATGGTCTGGTGTTGCTATAAACCAAAGGACTAATATAGGAATATTCAAAAGGCTGTCAGTCATTTTTTGCAGCCTGGTTTATCTGGCAAAATAATTAACTCCCAGGCAAAACGTATGCGCAAACAGGTAGCAATTTTTTTTATGAATGAAAGGATAGAATGCCGTAATAATAGAAACTAACACGAGCATAATGCGGCTGAATTTATGGTTGTTTTGAAACTAAGTAAAAAAATTAAGATTCGTCGAATTTTACTTTATTAGTAGGCAATTTCATTTAGAGTGCGGATTCTATTACGATCATTATTTGTATATTTAATATACTTACATAATATCTGATGGCAATAATTAGTGTATATTCTTTTGAGGATAAATAAAAAATGTAAAATTATGTAAAAAAGTAACTCATCGACTCTACGGAATAAAAATAGTACATAAACATTGTGGGATTGAACTGGCAATAGTGACTTCACAAAACTAAAGTAAATATTTTTGAACGCACGAAATTTAATTACGCTCGAGAAAAGCGCTCAAAGTCGCGTAGGGATATTAGGAAAAAATAAAAATTGGTAATGCTGTGGTAGTTAAACCCAGCATTCAAATACAGACCAAGGGCAGTTCTACTGAAAAACCAGGATGCATATCTAGTACGCAGAGTTCAGATAATCTAACAAGCGACTTATCCACACAAGTTTTAATAATGTGCTCGGTGAAGTCATAAATACATCTCCCTGACATAGAAAAAAATAAAATGGTTCAGATATCACCAATTTTTTTCATTCGGTCAAATTTACTGGCATGTACTGCAGTTTAATTATTTGCAAACAAGTGTGCCCATAATTGGGATCATTTACAGAACAGTGAAAAGGCATATAAGGCTAATAGTGACAAAAGTAAATAATTTATGAGGTTTCTATATAACAGCGGCGGCATAGCTGTCGTTTCTTTAATTACTTTGGTAGATGCCAAATTTGGAAACATAAATTGTCTAGAGGTATTTACACGCAACTTAATTAATGAGAACCTCATTAAAAGTACCCCAATATGAAAACCAATTCTTTGACAATGCTATTAAGTAAGATTTGAAGGGCACATTTCTGATAAACAATTTCTTTTGGCCTTGTTATATACATTTTCGATATGTTTGAAACATTTTATCATGACCAATAGTGACGCGCACAAGCACAATTGCAAAAAAGAATTTTTTTTAAGTTCAGCATTGCAATTTAAAAATTTTAAGTTATTACTTTCTTTATTATGATTCTTGATACAATGATTGCTAAATGAAAATTCAAATATCATCGTCAAAATCACTTTCTATTCGTTGCCTTTCTCCCAAAAGCTGATTGGATACCCAATTTCTTGAATTTTGCCCCATTGTCTTAGCGGGCTATTTGTAAAATCGAAAGATGAGTGTGTCTCTAGATGTGGATCTTTTTTCTTCGCGAATTCGACGCTTTTACGACTATTGGGAGGTAATTAACGTAATGTTAATGATAGTTTTCTAGTCTTCGGAGAGTAGGGCCTCGGATGTAGACGCTTTCCTTGTGCTTAATGGAAAGTCCGACGAACTCTATAGTAAAACTGTTTCCACTCAGGTACTTGTGTGCTCACTTTTAACGTCACATAGACGTGGCTGTTTGGTTATGAACTCCAAGATACCGCGATTGTCGTTGCAAAGAAGGTTATTGCTGTTCTTAGCAGCAAAAAGAAGATCGAGTTTTTGAAACCCATTAAAAGTGCTTCTATTCACGGCTTGGAATTTAAGTTGCTTACCAGAAGTCAGGAAGATGGTGACAAAGCCAATATTTCTAAGCTTGTCAGTGAATTTACATCGAGCGGGAATGGTGAGAAGCTTGGATACTTCAACAAGGAAAAGTCTGAATCGGAGTTTTCAAACGCTGTTGCGTCTGCTATCAAATCTTCAGCAAAAGAACTTGTCGATAGTTCCCCAATATTCAGTCACGTTTTTGCTGTGAAGGATCAGCACGAAGTCCAGCTTCTGAAGAGAGCCAGTGATATAACCTGCACAATATTTTCTAAACACTTAAAAGAGAAAATAATGGACGTCATAGATGATGACAAGGTTTGTTTTGCACATCAAATAATAATCTTCAATGTCTCTACTTGCTTATGGGACAGTTAAGATTTGTCGTACTCTCTTATAGAAAGTTGCCCACCAAATCTTGTCCGATGGTTGTCAAGAGGCTTTAAAGAACAAGGAGCTAACTCGAGGTTTCGAGCAAGACAATCTGGAGATTTGTTACGATCCAATTCTCCAGAGCGGTGGCAATTATAATCTTAAGTTTAGCTCTGGAAAGTAAGATGCACGAGACATTGGGTTTTGCCTTGTTCAAACATTGTCTAATCCTTCTGTTTTGTAATGTTTAGTGACAAAAAGCCGATGCACTTTGGTACAATTATTTGTTCCCTCGGTGTGCGTTACAAGTCGTACTGCTCAAATGTCATTCGTACACTTATTGTTAACCCCAACTCACGACAGTCGACCAATTACGAGTACCTTCACAACTTACTCGATTGGGCTATCGAGCAGATCAAACCAGGTAAGCTTTTGTACTTGTTGATTTACAAATACAGGTCTTGCTTTCTCCAGCTTCTACAACCTCGTTGTTGATAAGGTGAAGTCAGATCATCCGGAGCTGGCTAATAAGTTGATCCGTTCATTTGGGTAAGTGTCGGTGCTCTTTCCACTTTTCTTTCTGCGGTAGCACTGACTTTTGGTTTGTGAATTTTTAAGATTCGTGACCGGTATTGAGTTTCGTGACAGTTGTCATGTCATCGGACCCAAGAGTTCTGCCGTTTTTCGCGAAGGCATGTCTCTCAACATCAACATAGGCTTTCAAGTAAGTAAATCTGGTGGAAATTCATGTTCTGGCAGTAGACAGATTCTTATCTACGTACTTACACTCTGTTTTAGGATCTCGTGAATGAAGAGGCGGAGTCAGAAAAGGATAAGAACTACGCCCTCTGGCTGGGCGACGTGGTGCTTGTCGGACTAGGCGAAAATAAGACCAATCAGGTGCTTACAATCGCGGCCAAGCGGCGGCCTCGGGCTGTTTCGCTTTACATCGAAGAGGAAGACGAAGATGAGGAGGGCAATGAGGCGTCAGGCAGGGCTGACGAGGCGTTGAAGAACGGTGGCGACCGTGGTGGCGCACCAAGAGTCCACGAAAATGGTCGAACTATCGATGACGATGCTGAGGGGGCTCTGGGTCGTGGGCACCGACGCACCATCCTCAGTCAGAAGACCCGAGTAAGATCAGTCTGGCGTCTTGACGCACCTATTTGTGGTTATTTTAGCAACACCTGACTCCCAGTCCTGAGCTTCGCTTTAAAATCTGGACTGCTCCGCTTCCTGGGTCCAGTTTCGCACTTTGTTGGTTTCTTATGCTTCGCTTCTTTTTTTCCAGAATGAGCAAACGGCCGAGGAGAAGCGTTTGGTGCAGAGACGCGAGTTGTTTCAGCAGCTGCAAATAAGCGCACGCAATCGCCTCTCCGGCCTCAAGACGGACGGCGAGACAGGGCAGAAAGCCAAGTCTAACGTCGCCTACAAGGGCGCTGGTCAAATGCCCAAGGAGGACGATGTCCGCAAGCTGCGCATCTACATCGGTAAGCGCGCCCCCTCACAGCCCCCTTTTTGCTCCTATTCTACAAATTTTTTGGAGTCATCATTTAGAGAGTGCTTTTGGCTGTTGACACAAGACAGTTCTTACCTACTGTCTTTTGATCCTACGTCGTAGATAAAAAGTACGAGACGGTAATCCTGCCTATCTTCGGCCAGCCTACACCTTTCCACATAAGCACCATCAAAAACGTCTCCTCGTCGATCGAAGGGGACTACACGTATCTGCGCATCAATTTTCACCACCCCGGTGCACTTGTCGGTCCCAAAGACGCCTCCAACTTTCAAGTAAGCCCCCACGAAAAACGCACTGCCTCCTTTGCCTCCCCCTCCACACCCCACTTCCCTCTTTCCCCTACTAATTGATTTTCTTATCGTGAACTTCGCAGCCGCTGTCTGCCCTCTACACCTGTTTTGTGTTTTCACTTGACTCCAACAGAATCCACAGGCGACATTCCTGAAGGAGATGACTTATCGCGCCTCGAACCAGCGTCGCCACGGTGAGGCGTCGAGCCCCTCAACCAACTTGAACAACGCCCACCGCATCATCAAGGAGGTGCTGAAGAGGTTCCGCTCGCGCGAGCTGGAGGAGAAGGAGCGCGCGAACCTCGTCGAGCAGGACAACCTCGTCATCGAGCCTGGCAAGACGGCGTTCCGTCTGCGCGACCTCTACATCCGACCCAACATCGTCACCAAACGCATCACCGGTGCGCAACCACCACTGTTGCTGGTGTGTTTTACGCGAAGCAACGCTCTCACCCCCTGTGTGTGTTTTTCCTGTAGGCACGCTTGAGGCTCACAGCAACGGTTTCCGGTTCACGTCAATACGTGGCGACAAGGTGGATATTCTGTACAACAACATAAAGCACGCCTTCTACCAGCCATGCGACGGTGAAATGATTATCCTGCTCCATTTCAACCTCAAGGTCAGCCTGGTTTTGCCTCGCACCTCTGTATATCTCTACCACTTAGCAGCACATAAGTAGGGCTTTTTTTTAATTCTCGAAATTCAGAATGCAATTATGTATGGTAAGAAGAAGCAGGAGAACATTCAATTCTACACGGAAGTGGGCGAGTTGACGACGGACCTGGGCAAGTCACACGGACGCATGCACGATCGTGACGACCTGGAGGCGGAGCAGAGGGAACGCGAAATGCGGGAACAGATCAAGCACGCCTTCAAAACCTTCGTTGATCGTGTTGAGAGCCTGGCGAAGCGCTACAACCTGGAGTTTGAGATGCCTTTCCGTGACCTTGGCTTCTACGGCTGTCCAATCAGGTACGGCGTTGTGTCGTCGTCATGATTGAAAATCGATAGATTGGTTACGCAGCTTCATCGATTATTGATGTCTTGTTTGCCTTTAGAACAACCGTCTTCATGATGCCAACGAGCAGTTGCCTGATCAGCTTAAGCGAATGGCCGCCTTTCGTTATCTCGCTGGAAGAGGTGGAATTCGTTATGTTTGAGCGCGTCAGTCTCTCCATCAAGACCTTCGACATGATCTTCGTCTTCAAGGACTACCGCATTAAGCCCGCCATGATCACCTCCATTCCAAGCACCTCATTGGACCACGTTAAGGAGTGGATTCTGTAAGTTTTTCGTTTGTCCTCGAAGTTGCCCGCCAACTGCTCGGCAGGGCCCTCATTGCCAGATTGCTATTTCTAGATCCTGCGACATATTCTACGCCGAGGGTGCGCGTTCGCTGAACTGGCCCAAGCTAATGAAGACCATCATCGACGATCCCGAGGACTTCCTCGAGCAGAACGGCTGGGCGTTCATTTCACCGGACGATGTAGGCCACTTGCACTCTAACCACCCCCCCCGCAGGCATAGCCCCTTCCTAACACAAAACTTTCTCGTCTACCCCAGGAGGACGACGAGGAGGATGGTGAGGGCGACACCGACGCGGACGACGAGAGCTACCAGCCTTCCGTCGACTCGGACGCCGACGACGGCGACGGCGACTCGGCCAGCGGTGGAGGCGCGTCGGGCGGTGGCGACTCCTCGGACTACGACGAAGACGAGGACTGGGACGCTGAGCAGGAGTCATCCTCTGAAGGTTCACTGGACTCGGACGAGTCGGAGGGCAAGGACTGGGAGGAGCTCGAGATGGAGGCTCTCAAGGGTGCGTGTAGTGCTGGCGTCCATGACGATCGCCGATTGCAGTCAGGCGACGGCTCAGTTCCCTCTTGGTTCTTTCTAGTTTTGATAACCGGCAGTCGATCGACCGCCTTCTTTTTGATGCTACCTGCCTCCCTCCATTAGCACTCATTTGATTAGTTGGCATGCGGAGGCTATTTACAATTCAATGGTCACTTTTAATCGAGTTAAATCTTATGCAAATTAACCCAATCATACTTTCACCTCTCATTGGCGATTTGCCAACGTCGATATCACATTTCATGCAATCGCATCTTGCTTGTTGATGCTTGTTTCGTGTAGAAGTTGCATCGCGGATTGGATCTGTGATGTGTGACTGCATGCTTTCCCGTTGTAGAGGACCGAAAACGCGACAACGATGACGAAGAGCGCGGCAAGAAGCGGCATCATCCAGCCAGTCCCGACAGTCGTCGTCGCAAGAAGCCCAAACACGCCGACGGCAAGCGCAAGCTCCGCTGACGCAAGCGGTGACAATCCCTTCCCCCGTGGTCCACCCAACATCAACCTCCAGCCCTCACATCCACCTGGTCATTCACCAGCCGTGGACCTCTTTTTATACGTATACACAGAAGAGCAACAGATTTTCATAATACTTGTCTAGATGACGCGGTTTCGCGACGTGCTGGTGCCGTCGCTTCGCGTTCCATCGCTAAAACGATTGTCGTTTTGTCTACAGACGTATCTCCTCGTCGATTCTTTGACACGTCGGGCGGGATTGTGTGAACGAGTGGTCAAGCAGTGTGAAAAGAGACAACCGCAGGTGTGAATGTGTGTGGTCATTGACACAGACGAAGAGTTCGATGCAAAAAACGTGTTTTGGTGTGTTGGAGCTTCCAGGGTGAAGATAGGCAGGCGTCGAGGTTAACGGCACCGCACAAATCGATCAACCAGGCCTCTGCACATGCCTCCGTGCGACATAACTAACCGCTCGGTGGAATAGGTATGACCACATTCTCCGTGGAAAAGTCATTAATTTAGTTAGTTTCATTCGAGTAGTGCAGTTGGCAAATTCATTGCTGGGTAACCTTGAACCCTGCCAATGAACGTATTTAGGGATGCCCCTGAGTGGTGCGTGTGAGCTTGCGTTCTCCATGTGGGACAATTTTACCTGAAAGTTGTAACCGCTGGCTTGAATCAGCGTGTTTTTCAAATGCAACCTCAATTACCTACACTTCCCAATTGTGCGACATAAGAGGTGATCCACATTCCTCAAGGCGTAAATTCGAGCAACTCAGAACGCTCTACTTGTCGGTTTAGAGGCTTCAGTCGGCTACAGTCGAATTTACGTGGCTGTGTGAACTGGTGTATGCAGGTACCAGCAAAAAGCATTGCAAGCTTCACATGCAAACAAACCACACAATTAGGTTGTAGTAGAATGCTTCACGTTCGGAACAATTGGAATGAACGAATCTTCGGTTCCGACACGTGTGTCGCGTTGGTTGCTTACACGCCAACTGATGGTAAAGTAGTCGACGTTGTCCGACACTCTCGGTGTCCAAACACGATTCACACGACGTCTGCCACGATCACCCGTCTGCCTCATAGGTTTCCATTGCACGATCAACTCGATTCTACTAGACTGTACCATTCCAACTAAAATCACTCTTTCCACATCCTCTCTCTCGCCTTTCATTGATCACCAGCAATCTGCATTCACGTAGACACGACCTTGAGCTAGCTGAGATCCTGTCAAGCCCTCGCGTAACTGTTTCACAACTGACCTACCTTGTGGTTGTGTGGGTGATTGGTTACCGAGTTGTCGCATTGTGGCCTTCCACATCGAAGGTTGTTGTCACACTCCGTCAACAGGCAGTTGAGGCCTGGTGACACGCATGTTTTCGTGAACTGATTTCTGGGGATAACACAACGCACACACACACACACACACACACACACGCACCTAGACACACCGGAGTTTTCGCGATGATCAGCGTGCTCGTGGCGGTGATAGTGGCGGTGGCGATGTTGTGGTTGTGGTGTTGGTGTGGTTTGAAGAGCATAAGTGTGATTGAATTGCCCACCCAATTGCTGCAGCATCAGCTGAGAGTGCATCCGTCAACATGACTTGACTAGCGTGTGCATCAACGGCAAGAGCCATCACCTGGCCAGTGCGTTGATCTCGAAAGCGCCAAACACAAGTGACATTGTCCAGAATGCAACAAATTGCATGGATCTGTGGAGATGTGACTGGTCGCGAGAATGAACCCGTCAGTCTGGCAGATCAAACATGCATCAAAATTGCCAACACTAAACACACACAAACACAAGTTGAATTCTAAGCCTTCTACTGGATGTTTCCCTGCATTCAGCCAGTCATGGTCTAATGAAATTGATGAACTCTGCTGAGACAATTGACGAGAATAGGTGGATTTGATGTGAATCATGTCGTCGCAGATACACACATACACACGTCCACCTTTTCACGGTGTGCCCGTCAATCACTAGGACAGGCTACCAATTCACCAATCCGCCACCACCACCACCCGCGTTATCCATGTGACCATTCAGACGTCTTCATTCCTACTAGTCCATTCAACCGTAGCGGCAAACACAACATGATCGAGCTATATAGTAAACAGTAGTATCTGGCATCTCTGGTCTTGTCTCCTCCTCGGGTTCTTTGCGTGGTACAGATCCTCAACAGATCCCTCTCAGCAAAAACCAATTATTGAACCTAAATTCTGTTTTTAAAATTGAGCACAGCATCTAGGTTTCGCCAATGACGCAAAGCACATGGCGCTCTCAAAGCAGAAGATTCCTCGGCAATATTTGTCGTTTTGATTCATTCTAATCGTCGTCACGGGAGTCTGGAACCTGTGTATCCGTCCATCACGCCGCCACGCAAAATTTATTGGCGCATATCAAAACCATCACTACTAGCTCAGAGGGAGGGAATTGTCCAGCCAATAGAACGATTGTGGATAAATCCTTGTGTGATCAGCAGGTTCACCTGGTACCTCAACTACCGAAGGCACACTTTCACGGAGCAGATGACATGAAGTTGGCGACACACTCAAATCTTATTCAAAGCACCATCGACAGACCACTAGCTCAGCTTGCTACAGCAGTGCAGTCGTAAGACCAACTCAAACGCCGAATTGCCGTCTCTCAACCCATCGAAAACGCCATGAATACCTGACTTTAAATGCAACTTATACTAGGTTCAATCTAACTTTGTCGAAGACCTCTTGCCTGACCAAGGGTGTGCATCGTTCTGCCACTTTAACTTCACTGGCAGTTACCTGACTTGGTTAATTGACGCATTTCGCTCTTCGCCTAATACCCCTCCACGTGATAAGGAAACCACTAAATCGACAATTACGGCAAACGCGTCCAACATTCTCCCCAACGGAACGACAACCAGTCAGTGGTCTATACTAATATGGCGCAATATAGCAGGGTTAGGAAGTTTTGGAGGACTTTGCAGTTATCTTGGTTAAGTTGATTAAACAAATTGACACACTCAAGTGCCCTTCTTAATTATCTCATGGCAAAATCACGCCAGGCATGAGTGGAATGTGGGGCACTGTCAGTAGAGGATCTGTTTTCGCTCCAGCGAGACGTTCTAGTCTCTAGGCCGAGCTTTCGCGAACGCCTCTCGCACTGTTCCATTACCGCAGAGTACACAGCTTCGGTAAGAAATATTCACGCGAGCGTTTCTCTGATGCTTGTGACCACCCACGAAGTTGTACTCGAACAATTGGCGATATGCTGGTTCTTCCAGAGACTGGTCACATTACCACAGATCAACAAACATTTCTTGCAACCTGCGCAACCGACTTCCACCTGTCCACTTTGATTTGTACACGCACACACTGGCCTTTGCTGTGTACTCGGACGACATGCCAGATGGGAATACACTTAATATTTGTTGACTGAGATACCTTTAAAAACGCGTTGTGGGTGCAGGTTAAACATGAAGGGTTTGTGTAAAGGGTAGAATTCTCACGGATAATTGAAAATGATATGTTAGAACTCAATCTGTTGACTTATAGGCGTTACGCGACCATGCTTCGTTTCTGCAGAGACCGTTTTGAGGGATACAGCAAAAATGTAACCTGCTCCACACAGCGGGATCAAAAAACGATGTCACGTTCAATCAGAAATCAGTCATGTCAACATCAGAGCTGGCGGTCTCAGGAGATGGACAGTTCCAAAGTGCAGCAAAAACCATAGAAACGACATCCACCAATCGAATGCGTCCACTGCGACCTCACTAAAGACCAGTGTGGTGGTCTTCAATCGGTGGATCACGTTGCCGAGATTGAGGCACTGGACGTTCGATTAATGCCTTTGCATTCCACAACTCATTTCAGGCGCTACCGCGGATGCACGTGCATTCAAACCCCAAGCAACCAGCTCACAACCCATCGTAATTAGGCTAAGTCAGTTAAAGTAGAAAAGTGGCAAGATAATCCATCTGGTGTCCAATCTAGAGTAGATTAACAGGCGATAAACACATGACGCTGTGTGCAATGTATGTACAACTACAAAACTACTTGGAATAGAAAAACAAAATTAACCTCATCACTCGCAAGTAGAAAAGCAATCAGGATCTGCAGCACCCACAAGCACATCCCTGTCAAATCATGTGACCTCCAACTCAAAGACCAGCTTCCCATGTGTGAGTGTGTGTGTGTGTAATAAAAAACAATCCACAACGCTTACTCGTCAGTGATGCAACTCAAATGAAATTATCTCCCACTGTCATCTTGGTGCGCCATTCATGCCACCTGCCACATACACATCCTCCATTCCATCATCTCGCAATTGCAATTGAGGCAGCGGTTGAGAGACCTCGTTGCTGGTTCCACGATGCCATCATCCCACGTGGCGCACCATTCGTCGTCACACCGTCAAGCACTACGTGCTCTCGCGACCCAACAGACAAAGAGCGAGGTGACAGGAATTAGACAAGGCAGCATCTTCCTGCTCTCGTGACTGTCTTGCAGATCGGAGGTGACTGAATCCCTCTCGTCAGGTGAACATGCTGTTGCTGCAACACAAGAGAGCAGTTAGCTGCTTGGTTGGTGGGTGCATGTCTGTGTGTGGTACGGAGGACGCAGGCATCCACTCTAAAGAGACACGTCTCAGACACTAGACATGAAGACATCACCACCACCAACTCCACCACCACCACCACCACCACCAACCAAAACAACTCGCTATCGATAGCGCCAATAATAAATCACACCCGCGTCATTGTCAGACCGACTGCATTGCCACACCGGTGGTTGTGGCGACAGGTGCGAACGCGCAAAGTACTGGCAGCGGTACCGTAGAGCTGGTCGTACGTGGCTGGAAATGCATTCCGCTATTGTGCTCCGGTCATTCCTGTACTCCTCACATCCACTTCCCAAATTTGACCGAGAATATAACTCTTGCTGTTACATAGAGACCAAGGCCAAAATAACTCAACAGAATCTCGTGATGAGGGAGCATCGAGTGAGGTAGTTGTA